GTGCTACATAGAGGCGCGCTATAGCGTATGGTGCTTCTGGAAACAAAAACAAGAAGCTGCCATGGTGAAACGGATTATGGTACTTATAAAGAATTACGTTTTGAACCAGCGTAATGGGGAGCCCTTTGCTTTTACTGACACAGAACAAGCTACCTGAACTGACCCGGTGTAGGTAGGTGCCACGAATACTCACTTACTCGGCTTGTGCAGATGATGGCTATGTCTCTCAAGACAGACACGTTAGAGAGAAGAAAAAGAAAAAAACGTATTTTATACATTGAGGTATCCTTTCAATGTCGCATTTGATCTCACTTCAACTACATCAAACTACAAACGTTAAATGAGGCCACTTGCTCTCCACCCATCGCACGCATTTAGTAGCGGGTGGGGATAGTAGGTTGATGTAATGGCCTATATCAACCAACAAGTGGAGCGGTGCCTCAATTTACATTCAAAGGTAATGTTCCTAAAATTTGTACTTCGAAATGTAAATATTGGAGGACAATGTCAATAATGATAATCATTTCTCGCTGACCCAATGGGTTGTGAATGACACGTAGTTGTCGATTGAAATTAAGTAATATTCGGGAACGATTAGCGACTAGCAATGCCCTGTTGAGAGACATGTAATGGGCTCACCTTGTTGCATAAATCGTAACAATTACGGTTAATAATTTGTCACATAGGTAGACTTCTAAGTCACGCATAGTCGTAACACTGCAGGCACATATATTTGGCAATACATTAGCGACGTATGGGCTATCCATGCCGCGCAACGAAGTTCAATAGTATTCGAGCATGAGGTAGACATGAGCATACATACATAAGCCAAGTAGACGGTTGCGAAAGTGCAGTGAAGCCAATTTATGAATGGGAAGACGAATGAGTACATGTAAAGGCTACTGTATAGTGGGTCTTCTGAGCCACCGTCGAACGATTGGCGTACTCAATACCGCCCGGTGTACTGTACGCACATACGTGTGACTCAGAGCAGACGCAATCATCAATTGCAGTACAAGCGTGGCAACCGGTCGATCGTTGACATTCGCTCGAAGACGGTAGTGGTGCGACACATATAGCATTGTAATCACATTCTTCGGGGAGCCATTTTTTGACGTTGGTCCTATGAATCGCCTGGCATAGGTTATACCCACATGCGTCAATTTTCTTACAAAAACGTTGCCATAATTTTGCTGGTCACCTCTCGAAATCTTTTAGCGGTAGGAAATGTTCTTTCGCGGCGAATAGCCGATGCAGCGCTGTTGTGTGTTCCTCATCAGACTGTTGTACAATTGATAACGGTGATCGAATGCAAGATTAGATCACAATCTTGCTTACAGCTTGTCGCTGATTATGTTGCCTATAAGCAAGATGTATCCGTCTACATGTTACAGATCTTGAGCGCTCAAAATCATGCATACACTGTCCGCACCATTTTGTGTGGATTCTGCAGCTGTGATGACCGACAATCTATAGTATTGTGTACTTTTAACGCCCGAGATGCGGAAGAAAGAGAACTTCGTGAACGTCTACATCCTTTTGCCAAATGCCGAGTGCATACATCGTTATGTATTCTCTCCACAACAAAGCGATCGACGCAATCATTCCCGACAATGACCATTGGGCAATGATAACACATCTTTTTGCATATGCTGTCTTTTCTTAGGAATGGGCGAAATTAGAGTGCTCGACAATAGCGCGCAGGCTGCAAGGGGAAGAGGCTCAAGCCACAACAACTTCGCTTTAAAACTTGATAGGTGGTTTCGAGATATTGTATCTCGGTCTCCCTTCGCTTTCGCTGTCGTAGCATGGGAAACGACGACCCCGGTATCGTACAACAGCCGCAAAAATTGGTAGGTGTGATATTATTTCACTCCCCTTTCCACGACAGTGCAAGCGTTTGCGCCTCTGTTTACAAGGCAGCATCATGATCGAATTGTGATAAGACCGCACTCGTTAATATTGGCAAGCCTCTTCAAAGCATCGTGTACGGCGCTCAATTGACTATGAGCCCGCTCACCAAGTTTGGGTGGGATCACGGCTATCCTGGAGATGAGTTGCGTGGATCTTGCACTCCTTTAAGCAGACGTTATGCTCAGTAGACATGCATTATTACGTCGAGGAACGGGTCAAAAGCGCCTTGCAACACCCTGTCTATGCGGGTGCAGCTAGCCATACAAAAGTCGTATACAGTTTTTGAGATCCGTTATAAAATCGGTGTGTGCTGAAGCGATTAATACGATTGCTTCCGCATGCGCGAATGTTTGCACATATTGCAAAACAAAAGATCCATGAGTCGAAGATATTGCGATACAATATCAAGCAACGATGACACAGGGTTAGTAGCGACACAGTCTGCTCGTTGTCGTCCAGACGGGCGACACACGGTGACAAGAGATGCATGTACAACGATAACTTCCAAATGGGGAACAGCTACAGGAATACAATAGTCCAGCTACAGCCAGAGTGATCATCAAAGTGAAGAAAAGTCAAAGAGTGTTCCAGCCTGATGATGTATGATTACAAGTTCAAGGCAAGACTTGAGGCAAGCAATTTCACGCACTCACTTCGTTGGATAAGATGCTGATTCTCGCGCCAGGTCGCAGCGACGCGTCCCAGCTAGAGTTTCAAGAAAGCTGTAGAAGCTGAGTCATCTTACGAACGCCGGGTCGCACACATATATTGAATGAAGCAGGCTGCATATCTATTCGCTCGTCCGTCATTGATGAGTCACGATCTACTCGTTTGCGCAGGTTTTGGCTTTGAGATATGGGAAGCGACACCAGGTTTAAGTATAGTGAATATGCATGTACGACGTTGACTTGTAACACTTTCTGATCAGCATTTTCGCGTTTTCCAATTCGCAGCTGGCACAACGCAAAGTATGGACTTCACACCGCGCTTGGAAAGGAAGAGAGCCTTTCGGGTGACCGGCGGCCACGAAGCACCAAAGAAACCTCGCCACGCCAGCGAAAACCGTTTGGGCTTTGCCACGCGTATATTTACGCTCTTCTTCAAGCGACGACTCTTCGCCGATAGATCGCAGCCTAAGTCGTGGTTTGGTCGTTCGAATGCTACATCTGTGGATAACACGGCCCGTCACTCAAGCGTTCAGAGAATGATTGTGAGTGGATTCGGTTTAACGGGCCTTGACATATCGTCTCAGTATGCTGCTGACGACAAAAAGAGCGACTCCGATTGGCGACAACGTCAGATGCAATGCGTAAACTGTGGACGTCTGTTTTTCAAATCCTTGTCGACGCTTCATCCCGACACTGGGCGGTTTTGTTCATTAGACTGCAGAAGCACATTTCAGTACATGGATCGTCTCGAGAGATTGATTGCTGGACACATGTTGGGAGGCAGCATCTGCAGCAACTCGAGCTCGAATGAAGACGATTACGCTATCGAAGAACACGATGTTGATGAGCTTTTGGCAGATCTGCAGATCGAGTATACGAGTCACTGAGTAAGTGGTTGTCGCACGTACTTTATACTCGAGGAACGTGGCAAGATAATTCGTGTGTGAAAGCAACCTACCATATGCTGTGAATGGCGTGTCGTCGTCGTCGAAGCCCGAAAAACGAAGTAGACCTCATGTATCGATGCAACATTAATACGTCAACACATATTTATCAGCCGTAGGTGAGTGTCATGTCAAGAATGGACGTTTCCATGTGCGCAGCCCCAGAGATAGAAATGCCCGCGACGTTCCATCGCGTATGAAAAAATATCGTGATTTCGATTGATCTACATCGTGCGTGATTTTGCCAGTTTTCGCTACTCTACGCTTGATCTACAGTACCCACTTCAATGAAACGATGAACAACAACGACTCAGTCTGGTGTTGTCGCTATTGTGCGAATCTGCGAATCCTGTCTCTGCAATGCGAGAATGCTTGAAATAGGCATGAAAGAGCGTGGTGCGACGACCCCTGACAAATTTTGACAATGGAGAGCGCAAAGGGACTGATGTCAAGGCAGCTGGCACGTCACTCGACGGGTAAAAAGCACTGAATTACTCATTGGCTCAAAGTGCTCGTGCTTTCTATATAGGGCCGTATCGGCTTGCGTTATCGATCGAGATCCAGACACTCATCCTAGACCATTTGTAAAAGGCCCATTGACTGGACTTGAGACAGAAGCAGATCGGCACTGATTTTTGTCATGAGACACGACCTCAGAGCTAGCATGCTCTGTGTCTGCATTTTTACAGGATAAAGCTGGTGTCTTGGCAGGCACCGCAGTGAGCTTAAGCAAGGCTGCTACAACTTGTAAAAAAGCAGACGTCAACGACTAAATCAACAAACTTTGCCAAGCGCAGCCACATCAGCTTGAACTTAAGCAACAAGTCGGCTAACGGATCAAAGAGCGTCAACGCATTTTGTAATGTTTTTCCGACCAAACGGATGGAGAAGTTTCGAGCTCAGGACGCTATCTTATTGCTGCATTCTACAGCTCATGCAGTCATCGACGGGTCCCACTTGCGTTCATCAAGATGCTGCAAGGGGATTACGTTGTTCACGTTGTGCAAGTTGTCGGTAGGCTCGGGTCGGTGAGCCTTCACCCACGTCGTTTCCCTCAATTTCGCAATCAGAAGCGCTCGCCTCCAGTAGATAAAAAGAATCGAAGCGAGCGACAGGTTTACTTCACGATTTGTGAAGTCGCGTGACTTGCAACGTGTCCGACTCTATCTGCCCCGCCCACCCTCCACGCCGCGTATACTGACTGCCCCACGTCGAGACCGTCACTTGTCCGGAGTGACGTCGCGTGGTCGCGCCGTTCGATCGCTGTCCGTGCACTGATTGGCTCAATTGCTGTCCGCGTTCTGTCCTACCCCTACGCGACGTCTACCACACCATCCACACACTAACCCCGCGACGCCGTCGGTCTTCTCAGTTCACCGCTTGCCCGGGCGCACTTAATCGGAGAGAACCCGTCGACGGCCCCGTCCGGCGGTCGGCTTTCCTCGCGCGCGCGCACTCCGTCGCGGCGTTGTTCATGTCTCGCGCCTCGATCGGCGACTATGTGGTCACGCGCAAACTCGGCAGTGGCTCGTTTGCCGTCGTGTACAAGGGGTACCACCGCACGAGCAAACGGCCCGTGGCGATCAAAGCGCTGTCGCTCTACAAGTTGAACGGCAAACTGTTGGCGAATCTCGAGATGGAAGTCGCCATCATGCGGCAGATCGACCACCCGAACGTCGTGAAGCTCTACGAGATTCAAAAGACGGACAAACACATGTACCTCGTGCTCGAGTACTGCGCGGGCGGCGACTTGCAGCAGTACATGCGGCGCCACCAGCAGCCCACGAGGCAACCGACGAGGCAACGAGCCGACGAGTTGCAGTCGGCGAGCAGCAGTTTGTGTCTGCCGGAAGCTGTCGCGCGCCACTTTCTGCGGGAGTTGGCGACGGGTATGCAGTGTCTCTGGCACCACAACCTCATCCATCGGGACCTCAAGCCACAGAATCTGCTGCTGGTCGAAGATTCGCCCACGTCGGCGCTCAAAATTGGTACACATATATATATATGTATGTATATATATTTATATTACAGCAGACGTGGGTTTATTGTACCTGTCGGACGACGGTGTATATGTGTACATGGGTTGTACGCTTCTTTTTCTGTGGGCGATGCTAAGTGTGACATGTGTTGTTGCTGTTGTTGTCATTGTTCTTAGCGGACTTTGGGTTCGCGCGGCACTTGGCGACAGCGTCGATGGCCGAGACGCTGTGTGGCTCGCCGCTGTACATGGCTCCTGAGATCTTAAAGTTTCAAAAGTACGACGCAAAAGCCGATCTGTGGTCGGTGGGGACTATTCTGTTTGAGATGGTGGCGGGGCGTCCGCCTTTTGGTGGTGCTAATCACGTGCAGTTGCTGGCGAATATTGAGCGTCAGCCGCTGCGCTTTCCTCCGACACTACAGCTCTCGAGGGGTTGTCGGCATTTGCTGGTGGCGTTGCTCCAGCGCAAGCCAGCGCTTCGTCTTGGATTTGCCGAGTTCTTTGCCGATCCGTTCGTGGATTTGCAATCATTGACTGTGGAGCTGGACACGGCTGAAGTGATGCGCCGCTCATCGAATCTTTCGTTGAACACAAGTATCCGGGAAGAAAAGGAAAGCGAAGAGGACAAGCTTTTGGGACGCTGGGGCATTTCGACTGCCAGTGGAGGTGGCCGGGATACAGCGCATGAAGGGTATGCAGCCACGTCGCCGGCGTCTTGTCGAAAATCCAATGGTATTGACGTGCGCGAAGTGCCAGCATCGAACGAAGTGAGCTCGAGCTCGCGCTTTGCATGCACAGCGCCACCAGCAATGACGCGTCAGTCACGCAGCGGAAATCTCGAAGTGATGGAGACTGCTTTTGCTCGAGCCAGTTCTGGATCAAAGACTCTACGTCGGTCGTCTTCGTCACGGCTAGCGCGAAGCCGTCGTGCCTCGTCTAGTGGCAATGGGTGTGTAGCAGACACGAGTCCCAAGCTGAGTCCGCAAATGAGTCCGCACATCTTGCCCAGTCCTAGTCCACGAATCAATCCATTCAAGCAGTTATCAGAGTCACCTCCGGGCGTAGCAGCAGTCCCGTATCAGCATCGTTCGCCGTCCGGGTCGTATCGAGCGGACGCTTCCTTCGCTACCTGTCCGATCGGCAGCGCTGCGATCGTGGCTACAAAGCAGAAGAGCGTTGGCGGCGGGGGCGGGCATACTCTGGATAGCAGCGGCGAATACGTTTTGGTGGACGGATTGACAGATAAATTTGCACCAAGTGGGCAGAGCTCTCATCCGTACATACATCGCACAAGCACAGGAAAGGCAACGAACGCGGTACCTGTCACGATCGATTTGGCAGCGACATCGTTACCCACGGCTGAGCCTTGCAACGGTCATGCCGGGTCTTTGTCCCGCGAATGCAGTCAGCAGCTGTTTGATGTTGTGGTACTGCGTGTTCAAGCAATCGCTTCGATTGCCGACCAGCTTTGGGCATTGAGTGCCGCTAGTGGTACATCATCTGGATCAGCAGACGAATGCATTGGCGAATTGACGGGAGAAGACTGGTCACCGCAACGTACGATATGTAAAAGCAAGTCGCTGTCAACATCACGCGAAAGAGGGGCCAGCGACGGTGACTTTTCGTCCAATTTTGCGATGAGCTTGTCGCTGAGCTCATCGCTTGGAGGGAACAATTTACTTGTGGATGACGAAAATGGAGATGACGACGAGGATGAGGACGAAAGGCGGAATAACGAACGTCACTATATTTGCGCCGCCGAAGCACTTGCGTTGTATGTCACATGCCTTCGTCTCCTACAGCACGTTGCGCTGTACTTACGCCAAGATCCTGCATCTTATGTCTCTCGAGGTTCGGTGGCGTCCTCTGAGTCGCGCGGGACGTTATTACAGCGGAACGGAACGAGCCTAAAAGCATCCATGGCTTTTTTGTCCGATCGACTTACTCATTACTTAGGTCGTGTCGAGCAGTGCAAAGCCCTGATGAAGAGTGCTGCTATCTCACGAGCCCCTCTTCGTGCTGCGACATCGCAGGTAGAGATGCTGTACACTCACGCAATCCGAATTGGGCGGCAGGGCGCTATTCGCGAAGTTCTGGGCCACACTCGAGCTGCACATGATCATTATCTCCAGTCGCTTCTCCTGCTCGAGAGCTTGATGATGGATACATCGAGTGCAAGTGCCGGAGAGTTAGCCGTGGGTGACCAGAAGAACGTGAACGATGTTTTGCGCGCACTCGAACTACGTTTGAAGAACGTTCGCACAACACTGGAGAAAGATGAGGGCTCCAATGCCGTAAGAAGCCACCAGCGGAGTTTGCAGCACCCGCCGTGGCCCCACTTCTAGCTGACTGATTACCGTTCTACCACTGCTGTAGCGCTGATGGAACGTTGCTACGAGTACGTGATTTATTATTTGCGTGTACATCTGACTGATTGAAACCATGGACCAGCGATCAAAGAGTAAAATAACAAAATAGCAATACACGTGACACATGGTTGGATAGCTTCCACAGAGTCGGTAATGGAGCGATATTCTGTCATGCACGCACGAAAAGCTACGCAAACGGCAAAAATAAAGAGAAAAATGGTTGACATCAGCATGTGCGTAGGAATACACCTAAATTTAGGTTCCCGTCGGGATTACCTCGGATATTGCATTACAGACAAAGAAAACACAGGATATTCACAAAAATACAAAAGATGCATTCGATAGTCACAAAAAAACAATTCACCAAATTATTTAAATGTAAAAAAACGCACAAAATGTGAAATAAAAAGTATACACGTAGTTATAGTATTCAAAATACGAAGCATATAAACTTAATGTTTATTATTCGACCGATCATACATATGCCTGCAATCCTTCGTATACATCCACGTATACTTTATCCCATTCCCTTTTATTTCATTTATTACCCATACAGCCAAATTGTCATAGCTTGGTTGCACGAAAGAAAAGGTGCGTCAGCGCTTCAAGCATAGACTAACAGTTTTTGCTTATCATTCTTATGAAAGACCACCCTGCCTCTGACTATTTCATCAAGCTCTGTAATTTGACACTGAAATATGTTTCGTTTTCGTCTCGGCCGTATCTTCTTCATTGAACGAAATGAGACAGCGCCATATTCAAACGGCGCGCACGCAATGCTCTGTGAGATTATCATATTCAATCAAGGTAGCATCAGACGACAGATATACAGTTAAAACTAGAGAGTCAAGAAAGTTAAATCCTGACGAAAGTATTTCGATATGCTTTTGCAGGTCGTCACGCGGATTGCTTACAGATACACAAGCTGAGTAGCACGCCAGCAACATGCAATGATATAATATAGCTGTTTTTATTAAGCGAAAGATGATGAGGTAATGACCGAGTTGGTATGATTAATGTGCGATAAATGCTGCAAAGATAGGTGCGTATTGCATATTACAGCGAATGTTTAACGCAAATGAGCGTGACAGCTCAGTTTTTTGGTCCATATCGAAATATAGAAAAAGATATAATTACAGTAATGTGCTTCACATTCTAGACAACTTCTCTATAAATGCGTAAAAATTAATAGCATCATCAATTATGTAATCTGTGACGAAGGTGTCGGTGTAATGTGGTCGAGCTCGTTACATGTCGTTAACACTAATCTGGGTCAATATTTTTATATCATTATAAACAATTTATTTTAATATTTTTCTTACGAAGTACATATCGACGATATATCACCCTTGATAGGCAATAGGTGACAACGCTGCACTGTTTTGTTTAAATAGGCCATAAGATAAGCCTATTAAACCGCCAAGTGATGTTGAACACGCGCAATGGGTGGTGAACATGTACAGTCATCCCTCTCTATAGGATACTCTCAACAAGAGAAACCCTGTATATAAGGGTCACAGTGTCGCCGATCATTTCAAACTATATAGAAATTTGTACACCGTTCTCTTTATAAGCGAGTAAGATATAAGACACGAAAAAACTCGCCCATTTGGGGTGAAAACTCTCTTTATGTGACTCACTACCCTAGTTCTAATGCTGAAAGAGATACGTCGCATAGGATGTGACAGTTGTTCTCCGAAGATTTGCGATATGCCTATTTACAAACGTCATATAACCCTAGACGTAACCTAGGGAAAGACATAGAGCATGTCATAATAGGTGAGATTATGAAGCCCGTATTACTGATGACGTCATGAGAACAGATACAGAAGACGAAATTTAATAACTTCGTAAGGCAATAGATAGGGAGAAATAAAATTTAATTTACATAAAAACTCAACTACCTACTGATACAACACGTTTACCCAAGATCATCAAGCCCGTGCAACCAATGAGATCATTTAAGCGAGTATCCCTTCTCTCTAGAGCAGAAGTACGAGGTCTTTCAACACTGCAAAGAACGCATAAACTTCCGATTTAACGAAGTGCAGACTTATGTGAGCATCCAGTTCCAGCACAGTATTCATAAATCAACGGCGCATCGGCTCATGGCCATGAAAATAATCGACTTTGAGGGCTTTAATCCTAATGTAAAAAAGAAACGACGTGTAAAGAATACTGAGTTCGAGAAGGAGATTTTGAAATTTGTTCTCGAGCGCGAGAGTGACGCGTTATCGGAAGATCTGGCCCTGGAGAAAGCAGACCGACTACGAGTGAGCCATGATATCGAAGATCACGATCTCAAGCTTTAAAGGCTGGCTCCAGAGATTCAAGAAGCGGAACAACATCAAAATCCGCGCGTTGAAAGGCGAGAGCGTGAGCTTATAAACTGATGACGTGCAAGCAGCAAAGTCTGAGATCCGATCTTTGATTAAACAATACTTTTTGAGTGATGTGACTAATTGTGATGAGACAGCATCATTTTACGACTTGCCGCCAGAAAAAAAACCCATGCACAGTTCGCAAAAATGGCAATAAGAGCGTATAGTCACGAGTAAAAGTTTCTTTGTGCTGTAACTCAAGGAACTCCGAAAAGCTGGACCCCATGATCATCGGAAAGTTCAAAAAGCCAAGGTGCATTATGGGTGTGGAGATCTAGAAGCGTGGCATCGTATACGCTGCGAGCTCAAACGTCTGAATAACTGTAAATATATTGGATAAGTAGATGCATCAATTTCATCTTCGAATGCATGGTCACGAAGTCCTGCTACTTCCCGACAATTCTTTCAGTCACAAGGTCCAACGAGAACTTAACAACGTCAACGTGGTATTTTCCGCCTGTCATGACTTCCACTATCCAGCCGCTCATTGCAGGTACGCATTAATCTCATTATTTATTTGCGTGCCTTTTAAATCTGCATTAATCTCCTAACCTACATACATGTTCTATAGGTTTCATCCGATCGGTCTAAAGCTCGCTACAGGAAACATCATATGCGATGGCGGATGGATCTGATCGAAGCAACATGAAAACGCAGACTTAATGTCCTATAAGCCATTTTAATTGCAGCTTAGAGCTGTAACAGTATTGGCGGGGAGATCATTCAAATTTGCTGGACCAAGAGTGGTATCATCGAAGCGCCACAGGCTGCGTAATTGCGTGCACAAAACAACCATCGACAGTCCAGCCTCACCTTCCAACAAGACTGCTGCGATCTGGCTGATATGTTGCAAAAGCTTGGTATAACCGTTTGCGTGGATGATTATGTCGAAATCAAGGACCACAAGGAAATTTACGAAGAACGAGAAGCTATGATTGAAGCAGAACTGGAGCTCGCGGAAGTCGAAAGCGACGAAGATCAAGCTCGTGTCAGTGCAAAAGAAGAAATAATGTGCTGCTTATTTTTGCGTTCGTACTTAATACGCTCAGTTGAGGACACGCGAGTTATACAGTCAGATCTGGATAAGATGTCGTCGGTTATTCGCAAAATCCGGCAAGCTAGGGCGAAACAGCTCGACATTAGAGACTTCATATAGTAGAAAAACGTTACATTTCATTTCAATTGGCGCGTCACGCTTTGAATAATAGCATGCAACTTCTTCCTTTTAAATTATCTTTATGAGACTTTTCATACGACACGCTGTAAAAATTGGACACAAAGTTGCCTCTTATAGAGAGGGTTGAGTGAAGCTACATTGTAAGTTTGTAATTATATCCAGCTTAAGTGAGATAAATAAGAATTTTGGTGACGTGTGACCTATGTTAGATTCAGTTCTACTTCACTTCTCTTTAACTTATCGGTAAATCCAGCTAATCTTTCTCTGCACATACAATGTACGTGAGAATTAGAGGCATCTGTCTGCACTGTGTTAGTCTAGGTAGCTCGAACTGTGTCTTTACAAGCGTAGGGTACTAGTAGCAATGTAAGCCCGTTACATGGCCTTAACGGTCTGCACATATCACTTAATGTTGATATTGTCTTTTCAATCAGCTTTAGCGCTACTAAGTAAAATGTTTCACGGCGAAGATTCTACTACCAACATACGGTTCGGTAGCACTAAATAATTCCTATTGCACTGACGGCTAAACCCATAATATCGTCGAGCATTCGTTAGCTGGTGCCCGCATATAAAGGTATTCGAATCGAATAAGCGTAGGATAGCACCTGGAAATGTGTTCATATAACTAGCTATTCTCGGCCTTCGACGATTATTCACTCTCCGCATAGAATAAGCAAAGCAAACCTCGCACGACTTATGTTTCATACGTTTTATCTTTACTTCGCTAAGCCCGCACGTACAGATAGGCAAGAGAAAAGTGTTGTGATGCACCGATCGGTTAATATCAAGCACAACACAATCATATGTGCGATGCTCGAACTAATGAGTTAGTAAACAAGAATTGTTCAATGAGGTATGCTTGAAAAAACGTTATAATTACTTTCATGTGGAACAAAAGAAAGGTTTACCTCATTGCTCTTGCTATGTTGATCCATACCAAAGAAGTATTGGAATCATTTTAAGCAGTCGACAACGAGCTTAATTTACATAAGTAGACCATGTGGGCACGAAAAATAAGACCTGAAACTCGAAAACATACGTACACGGATGTGAAAAAAGTATATTTACGAAGCATAATATTCATACGTTTGGGGCGATAGCTCAAACAATATATAAAGGGTAGTCTAAATCTAATTATTATATACAATTTGATCTCACTGATATAATAGCACGCCACAAATATGTAATATAGGTACATGAAAAAATTTATTTCGCAAACCTAGCAGTGATTTGTGAGTAGTTGGATGATATATTGACCAATGTTAATCAATATGTAGAATGGTGCCCCAATGTACATGTAAGAGTGATTTATCTGCAATGTTTACTTGATGGTTAATATAATATAAATACTATCATAGAGACAAAGTTCTCATTGTTCTCTAATGGTGCTGGTAAATTATAACGGATTAACGACG